TATATATATATATATATATGTTTAAGAAACCTGGGGAACCAGTCCTGATCTTTCTTACTGTTTTCTGCTCACATGCAGCACTTCTGTTGGTGGATGCTGTGGTTTAATCATTTACCTCAAATTCCAGGATTCTGACCTGGCCCGGCTCACGGGGTCTCACAGCGTGGTGTTTACAAATGTATAAATGTTGTAGTCTGTTTAAGTGCATCTTCTGTGATATGCTGCTGACCTGCTCAAAATGTATTTCCAGTCAGTAGAAGCTTGGATATTTTCTACTATAGGAAAGCTGAAAGAAACTACATGGACACAGATCACGTGCATATATATAAATTACTCTCCTTTGCAGTTTTGCCCTTGTCAGTTGTGGCTGCTGTTTAAATCTGTTTATGCAACTTTCTAATAGACGGCTGTGGTTTTCTGTGACTTATGGATACAGAAGAAGTTTATTCAATTATGCAAAGGTTCAGCTAGTCTTTTCTTCTATTCTACTTTTGCTGCCTTTCATTCATTTCCTTATACTTTCATCCCTTCATCCCTCAGAGGGAATATTAGCGGTGTCTTTTGCTAAGGGGCCAAGGCAAGGCCTTGGTCAATAATTAATTAAAATCCCTTCATTTACTCAAAATCTTTGCTTAGCCTGCCCCTGGTGAAATTGGGCAAAGTTTGCACTTTGGAATAGTATTATTATGCTGAGCAGGATAAATCACAGGCGGGAGAGAAAACAGATGTATTTGAGATAGTAAATTAACTAAGCTAAGCCAGCTAAGCCAAGGGCCAACAGCTGTGGGACTGCAGCCTAGAAAGTGTTGCTGAAGTAACTATTTCTCAGGCAAACAAATGTAAATGTACAGAAACAAGCTGTTAATGGCACAGATCCAGCATCAATTTACTGAATGTGAAGTGATGGTATTAAAATAAAGCTCATTGAGTGTTTAAGTAGAATGGAAAAGCACTATATACAAACCAATCAATTGACCGTTTCCCAAAATAGAGGAAGTAGATCTAACTGCTGTGCTGCAGACTAGTGCTGATATGAGGTGTAAAGATAGTCTGAAATGCCCTTAAACAAGCTGTTTTTTGCTGCTACTTTATACAGTGAAGCTGTTAAGTTTTTGTGTTCTTCTGTCTGATATTGTTTTGACCTTTAACTTGAACCAAGTCTTTGTCAGTCTTTGATATGCGAGTATAAGGATAATGGATCAATTTGTATGTTTGATTGTGTTGAAAAAGTTATATCCAAGATCTTTGACTCTTGCCTATCCAACTGTCTGTCATGTATCAAGAATATAATCAGAGGAAATGAGAGGAGAGTCCTTTTTTTTTGTTGCATATCGAGTTAGATTTCAAGGTTATCTTTGATTTCAGTGCAATTTTTTATGCATTTCTTTCTGTTGTTCCTCATTGGCTTCTTGCCCATCTCAAATTCTCATTCTCTTCTAGGACATGGTGGCGTGAACCAGCTTGGAGGTGTGTTTGTAAATGGCAGACCCCTCCCAGATGTAGTTCGCCAGCGAATAGTAGAACTTGCCCATCAGGGGGTTCGGCCGTGCGACATCTCACGCCAGCTACGAGTCAGCCATGGATGTGTCAGCAAGATACTGGGCAGGTAAGAAGCCGACAAGCACCTACACTCGTGTGTGTTCTGGGGTGATCAAAACACATCAACCTCCTCCTTCAGTACTTTAAAGGATCCCTTTTCACAATAGGTTAACCTTTAAACTATGCAGTGGAAGACCAAGTATCTTCACCTTTACTTGTTAGATTTATTTGTGTTTTTCTGGTTAGTTTTTTTTTCATCAGGTGAAAAGAACACACACAGGTGAACCAGCCTGTGTCAGACTGAAGCTCCTGTAAGGTCATACTGACTCCTTTGGTGTCAGTTCTGCTGTGTTCTTCAGTTTCCTCCACATGCACAAGCTGCGTTTTCCAAAGTGCCTCCATTTTCGCTCTGCTTCTTACTTCTCTCACACGGTTCTCTGCTCTTTTCTTGCTTTTCACCTTCCTCTCCCCTCTCCTTATATCCTGTATTTTTTTGTCGTCCCCCCCCCCATATTTCTGTGTCTCTCCTCACTCCCCCTTTTCTCTCTCTTTCTGTCTCTCCCTCTGCCTTTTCAAAGCTAAATTCAAGAGTAAATCCCTGTTCGTTCCGTCCCTCAGAGAAGAAAGGGGGACAAAAGGGAAAAGATTCATCACTTTTTGGAATTAGCATCAAAATGAAAGTGGCACCATATTTCTGCACCAAAAAAAGACAGAGGGAGATGGAGAATGGGAGAAAGACATGAACAAGGGACACAATCAAAAGGGAAAAGGCGTGTTAAAGAAGACGAGTGCAGGAAAAAGAAAAACGAATGAGAGACAGAGAGACCATTTGTGAGGACGGAGGGGAAGGATTAGCTACAGCGACCCTCAGCTATATCAAAAAATGTGCTGCTCATTGTTCTCCCATGCCTCTCTTTCTCCGTCTCTCTCTTTCCGTCTTTCTCTCTCTATCTCTCTCTCTTTCTCTCTCTCTCTCTCTCTCTCCCCTTTCCTGGCCGTTCAACTCACTGAAGCGTTACCGTGAGGGGGGAGGAGGGGATCGAGGGATGGAAGGAGGGAGGGAGGGTTGTTTTATCCTCTCCTCTCTCTCTCTCTGGTGCCAGCAGAACAAAAACACCAACTCTACCACCCTGTGTGTGTGTTTGTGTGTGTGTGTGTGTGTGTGTATTGGCTCATCGTTGTGCAGATATCAATAACTACGCTCGTTTATTCACCAATGATTCAGCTGTGAATAATTTAAATAGTTTTCCATTTGAAAATAGATTGTTTTTCCTTTAGCTGTGTTTATACTCCAGCTGTGAATAGTCAAAAATGTGGAACACACACACTCACCCCCCCCCCCCCACACACACACACACACACAGAAAGAAAGACAAGGAAGTGCACATTTACAGGAACTCGCATCTTCACGGAGGAAAGGATTACTCTACCGTACAGTGGAGAGAGAGAGGGAGAGAGAAGAGCAGCAGCAGGTTTAAGACTGACTGACAGCTTGCATCCACACACAGCATCCCCCCTTTTTTCTGCAAGCTGTGTAGCGCATTTGCTGTCCTCCCACCCCCTGTCCCCCCATGCCCCTTCTGCATGCAAATACATTCATGACATAGCCATGGTGGACATGAAACGGTTGTGTGAGTGCGCCCCGTGTGCACATGTGTGTGTGTGTCGGTGCCATCCTCTTCCTGCATCTGTGTAATAACGTGAAATTGCTTAAGAGAACAGAAGCCGATCGCGGGACGAGTCAGGCCCTAAAAATGTTGCGTGACAGGTGTTTGAGCTTATTGCATTTAGCCTTTCAGCTGACTCTGACATCTGCAGCGAAATCGGCAACATTATGTAACTGGCAGTGAGGGTTTTAGCACGCCTTGATTTAACAAGGTGTATTCCAACGAGAGCAGAGTCTCTGTTTGCGAGAAGGAGCTGAGCAAATCAGTCAAAGATACAAAATGAAACAGAAATAAAGAAAACTAAACAAAAGGATCAAATTTACAGAAAGATTCCCTAGAATTTGCAGTATATTTGACCAGCATTATCTGACCGGTGTGACCGTTTTCTCAGCTGAATAAATACAAAGTCTTTGATACAAACTCTATCCACACACAGATTATAAATACACAGTGCAATCATTAAATCTTCAAGGTGCTTTCAAGAGGAAATATTTCCACGGCAATATTTCGATTTAATACAGAACCTTTTTGGATTTTAAGCCTATATAACAGACACATCTGGACCTCATCTGGGGTACTTTCCACAGCTGCTGGGCAGGTACATCCCTGGAAAGTATTATGAAGCCAAAAATATCCCAAAAGTTATGACACAACTGGCATCAGGCTCATTTTAAGGAGAACTGTGACTGAATTCACATGTGGGCAGATATGAGCCACCTTTGGGCCAAACATTCATTGCATTCTGAGCAATGCAATATTCATAAGTCCATGCAGCGCATGAGCACTGAAGCTGTTTTTGCGATCTTCCCTGTTTTATGCGATGTGATTCCTCGCCACATTCAAAAGATCAGCCCAAATCAACACGGAGTTTCAATTGTCAGAATTACCCAAATAAAAAGTTCTGTTTGAAATTCAAATTAAATAAAAAAAAAAAAAGATGCAGCTGATGGAGGATTAGCAAATAATCACACCCATTTCATAGCTCAAATTAAGCAAGAATCACAAGTGATCAAAAAATTTGGACACTAAGAAGATTTACAGGCCACAAAAACTATTTTAATTGACATGGCAACATGACAGACTGTGTGTGTGTGCGTGGAGGGGGGGAGTAGCTGTCTATCATGAGTGGAAAAAAGACCTTAGACAGGAGGAGCATGTCCGATGTTTGGTGTGTAATCCAGAAATAAGTCCTGACCACAGGAGGGAAGGTCATTCCTCTGTTGGAGAGCTTGAAGGGAAAATAGCTGAGTCCAAGTGGAGCAATGTTCAAACCACCACCAAGAGAGGTGAAGTAAAGGGGCAGTAAAGCAGAAAGCTGCTTTATGTTATATCTGGGTTCTTTGGAGTCTAGATTCCTCTTCTGCTCGATTTAGCAGTGAAACAGAACTCTGAATAATTATTTCAGCATTTTTGATGCTGTAACAGAAATGACCTGGCCACTTTTCAGCTTCAATAGGTGAAAGAAGAGGAGTTAAAGGATAAGGACACCGATATGAGAAAATTATTTTTTTTAAAAATCCTTCACATTTGTATCTTATTCCTCTCTGCCACTGACCTACATTGTTGTCCATTCGCTGTTAAAAACACAGAAAAAAAAGCCACACTGTTGGGCTCTGTGTTAGTTTATTCACTGTCCTCGTGCTGTAAAGAGCCTCGAGATCTGACTCCACACCTGTTGATGTATATTTGAGAAAATGAGAAAAGTATAGAAGAGCACCAACCTCATGCTTTTAGAAAAATGCATGTTCAGATTCTTATTATTGCCTATAATCATGAAATATTTTCAGATGTGGCGGCACAATCGTGATTAAGTACTTTAACCCAACTAAACTCGGCCTTGTTTCTCTTTTATGTTTTTTTAATTAAAGTTTTTTTTTTTCAGGTTTGGATTTGGTACATTTTAATAAGGAGCTGTATGCATAAAAAATAAAATAACTAAAAACAGAATTTACAGATTTCATATTCAATATGATTTTATTAACTTGTTCCTCTCCGTATGATCAATGCAAGTGTCTTTTAATTGGCAGGTACTATGAAACGGGCAGTATCCGTCCTGGGGTAATTGGGGGATCCAAACCAAAGGTTGCTACACCAAAAGTGGTCGACAAAATCGCCGATTACAAACGCCAAAACCCCACCATGTTTGCCTGGGAGATCCGGGACAGGCTCCTAGCAGAGAGAGTTTGTGACAACGACAGTGTTCCCAGCGTCAGCTCTATTAACAGGTACGACGGTCTGTATGCTTTGTGTATGTTTGTTTGAGTTTGGGCGTATAGCAACAGGTACAGCCTATTGGTAGAGCTCAGAGCAATATAATACTCTGTGTTTTATGTGTGTGTGTGCCTGTGTGTGAGTCTGGGAGTGGAAAAGAGAATAGTAAAGAGGCCCCAGTCTCCATATGTATGAAGTGGCTGCAGCTCAGTGGTTCAACACGATGGTACAATGACAACCCTTTCCCCTGAGCATAGAAGCAGAGAGAGAGAGGGAGGGATGGTGAAATAAGAGAGAGAAGGAGTGAGCAAAAGAGGCAGACAAAAGGGAAGGAAGGTGTGTGGGGGTAAGGAAAGAAACAGACACAAAAGGAAAGGAAAGAAAGGAAAAGGGAGAAAAGGAAATGAGAGGAGAGGAAAAAAGGGGAGGAAAGGAAGAAAAAGGAAAGGAAAGAGGAAGAAAAGGCTTGCATGAGCAGCCAAGCAGGAAGTGTGAGGCCCCTCTGCCATGTCAGCCTGCCTCAGCCACTTCACACACACACACACAGACACACACACGCACAGACACATATACACAGTTTTGCTCCCACGATGGTCATGTTCTCTCTGTCACTCAGGATCTCTCTCACGCACACTCACACAAACCACTTCACACACACTAATATCCCCTCTCTCCTCCTGCAGGATCATCCGGACTAAGGTTCAGCAGCAGCCTGGTCAAACGGGCTCAGTGTCGGCTCACAACCTAGGTAGGTTGCTGTTCGAAAATCCTGTTTCCAGCCATCAAAGCCAATTTTTTTTTTTAACAAAAGAAGTGTTTTTGTGTAAATCTCTCCGGAGAGGATCCTCTGTGCTGAACAAGAAAACAGAGTTTCTGGACCTGTGTGAAGACAGTATGCGATGCTATGTGCCACAAAGTTCCAAATCTACATTGCATCCTTACAGTCAGCTTTAGATTGTCATTCTCCATGTAAGAAGTATGTTTAGGGTTTGTTTCTTTTTTACCAGAGTTTTGTGTGATGGTCAGGTTCATTTTGCCTTTTTGGGCCAACCGAGAGCTGACTGAAGAACGAGTAAGGTAGGGTACGATCAAACAAAGGTGACCGGCTGGATATAAAATAATAGTTACATATTAAGCTTTCATATTCTTGGCCCATCCGCTATGACGTCTTTAACCGAAAGCACACTGGTAACATTATTACAGTAGTGTACAATGTAACTATTAAGACGTACAATAGTCCCAATAACAACAATCAAAGGGATCCATGCCGTGAAACCATATCATCCTAAATATAGCTGTTTCATAAATAAGTCAACAAAAATGCTCAAGTCATTGTAATATCAAAGCATTAGAGATCTTTATCAGTTCCTTCTCAAATGGGTACTAGATTAGTAACACTGGCAAGCATTTAACTCTTTGATTATTGGAGGTTATGATTGGAAATTGATTATTTACAATGATATTCAAGTTCAAAGCGAGGATGCACCTGGTGAGGCACACTCTCACGGGCTAGAAAAGATCATATTTACGGTTTCTCAGTTACATCACCAAATTTTAAAAAATTGATCAATAAACACATTATAACAAGTCCAGTACTATTACTTATCTAGGTTAATGGACTTCTTGTGACCTATGCACCAAACCTTACACTATGCATATTCATAAACACATTTTTTTTCATCCATATTGCTACAAGCAGTGATTGGTGGGGAAGGATACACAGCTTTCTGCCCCCTTTGTCAGATTAATTCAGCTGTGTTTTGTTTGAGCAACATAGTAGTTTGAAAATAAGTTTGAGTATATTAGCAACAGGTAAACTTTTAGTTTAGAGTTAAAATTATGTTAAGTGCAGCTGGATGAGATCCAAAACCTGACAAATATTGAAGGACTTATCGGACGGTTCTCATTATATATTTTTAATAAAGGACCCGTAACCTTTGTCAGTATACAGTTAATTATCCTGTTAGACACTGAAAGACTATATCTGTGGCATCTATGGCTTGAACATTATTTCCTTTTATTCGATGAATATCGCAGCGTACACACAGATACGATAGCCTTTCTCTCTCTTCCTCACTTTGCCCTGCAGTGGATTGTGTTTCAGAGTCTCTCATATCTTCATAATCGCACATTGTCTATTAATCTAAATTAATTTCACACACACTGCTCCCTGACTCCTGCCTTTTACTCACATTTAAGCGACACACACACACACACACACACACCCTAGATGCAGTGAGACGCACATGCACACGCTTACAGATTACACAGATAAATGGGTCCCACTCCCAGGCGGAAAATTGAACATTTGGATTTGCAGAATAAAAGCGTTACGTTCTGATAAAAAAAGAGTGAAAAGAAAGAGAAAGGAAAATCAGATAATTGAAGTGCTAAATCAAGTGATGGGAAAAGGAGGGATATGCATTCATTATACTCTCCTTGTCGTTAGCGAAAGAGTAACGGCTTGAAGGGACTTTGATCCTCTGGTTTACCTGCCTTTTTTTACCCCCTCCTTCTTCTTTATTGCCATTTCAGTCTTGTCTTTCTCTGTTTGGGGGGTCTGCTGGGAGAGGGGATTAGTATGTCTGTCTCCACACCTTTCTGTCCCTCCTGGGATACCATACTGTCACTCAGCCCCACGTCCGCTTACAGGGGTACAGATAAGGGACCAAGAAGTGAGCGACTGTATGTTTAAGCCTGTCCCTGCATGTCAGGAGGTTGCAGGATGCGTGTGTGTGTGTGTGCGTGTTACTGAAGCGGTGACAAGTATGTCGCTGTGTCACCCGGCAAAGAACTTGTCTCCTCCAGGGGGAAGATTAAAGGAAGAGACAACAAAGAGCAAAACACTAACAGAGGCTGGTCTTTTGTGTCTTTTCCTTTAGTTTCAATTTAGCCAATACAACCGAATGAAATTTAGAGAGATAAAATTGACTTTTATTATTTTTTTTAAAAAAAGAAGAATAATTAAGATTTACATTGTGTGGCAATCATGCTGAGGTTTATGCCACAAATATATGAATAAGGACACTTGATTGTTGTTTTTCAAGCCTGAAAAGCATCCGCACACACAGACACACAGGAGAATTTCTCAGAAAGAGCTTTGTGCACAAAAACTATAGCTTACTGTTTATTTTCAATTAAATATTTGTGCTTTCAAATGAGATCCAAAGACACATGCAAATATATTGGATTCAGTTCATTTTAGTGAGTGTTTATAGAGTTTTGTGACACAGTACATTAAAATATGCAGTCTGTGATATTTCAGCAACAGCCAGAAATTCATAAAACACTTTGCTGTCTTCTTTTTCTTATCCTTTTATCTGAGATGTGATCATAAAGTAAAACCATGAACATTTTAAAAAACACACTCTTTTCTTTATAGTAGAACAAGCTACACTCACTTTGCAGTTCTTTATGTTTTATTATTTTATTTTTTTATTGAAAGCAAATGTTTCAGTGAGTTAAAGAGTCACTTAAGGCCTTATGCCTTTTTAATAAAACCATACAGCTTACAAGAGTAAGTGTCCACATAACACAGTAAATGTGTTGTGCTTTCCCCCCATTTTATTTTACAATACGACTCTGAGATTAAGTAATTCCTCATTTCAGTCATCAGTTTTATGGGTGTTCTTTTGCTTTCTCAGTATATCCTTTAAAGTGTTGGCATTGTCATGTGATCTGTCTGCAGCAACGTCCGTGCCAGCCACACAGGTCTCAGCAGTGACCAGCGACTCGGCCGGCTCCTCGTACTCCATCAGCGGCATTCTGGGTATCAGCTCAGCTGCTGATGTAGGCAAGAGGAAGAGGGATGAAGGTGAGCAAACAGTTATGCTTTGTATATGTCCCACTTTGTTAATTTTTCCTGGTGGATGCACAAGGCACACGAGAATCTAACACACGAGCAACAGCAACGGGACATGTGAATAAAACATCTTCATTGAGGAACGCAGATTTATTTACTAACAGTGTTTCATGGGATAGCAACCCGAGAGGCCAGCTTATGCACGCACTATCGATCATATACTTCTGTCATACTTGATCAATGTTGCATGCTAATGTATATGCGAGCTTGTGTATGTGGTCATAGGTAATGGATGTATATATTTGTGTACGCTGATATGCCTCCACGTGTTTGCCTGATTGTGTGTGTGTGTGTGGGTGTGTGTGTGGGGGGGTGTCAGTGGCATTAAAAAGCCATCACACAGACGGTCTCCTACGGTAAATGAGACAGGACCAGATGTCGGAGCGAGAGGGGGTGACAGAATGCCACTGGGGGCTATTTCGCTCTCTCTCTCCCTGACACACACACACACACACACACACACGCACACAGATACAGTGTGGGATCCTTTTTCCCACTGCTGATGAATTTTCAGAACACTCCAGCAGGTTCCAGGTGAATCCCAGGTGCACCTTGATATGCTCGGATTCAGCCCACTTAACCATCAGTAGAGTACAAAGACTTTAGACCCAACACAGACATAGAGACATACACACATATACCACTGATGCACTGGATCAAAGTTTGACTTGCTATGTGAACAGTTTGTCCATTGATAAATGAGGTTTTAGCTCAATCAAAAATAACAACAAATTGCACTCTCATCCTGTTCAGTGATCATCCGCTGGTTGGGGTTTCCTACGTCTTTCTGTTCCAACTGCATAAAACGTCCACATATGTTACAAAGTTAAGGTTGAGGTAGAAGATTTGGTGTATCCATAAAAGCAAAATGTGACATAGTGTTCTAAAAACAGGCTTAAACACCCGGTGAAGCTTGAGACACACTCTAGACTTTAAAAACTGGGGCAGACAAAGAACCTATACGATGAGGAAACGGCCTTTTCTCACATTAACACTTGAAACAAATGTAAAATGGCAATTTTCCCTCACATTTTCCACATTTCGTATTCATTAAGTTATCTCGCATGCACACCTTGACTTACCTTGATGTGCATGTAGAAGAAGAGAAACGAATCAAATTCAAATGTTTTAGATATATTCGGTTAAATTTTACACTAAGTTTGATGGGACTCTGATTTTAGTTGCTGCTCTTGAATAAGATCAGAGCACTCGCACAGAGCACAGTGATTGTCATGTCCACATTTTGGCTCACTGACAGAGTAAAGAATGAAAGATTAACAGTTAGTGATCATAAGTCTGAACGGCCACAGTGAAACTGGTCTCTGACTGATTTCATCCATGCCTCTTTGACATAAATAATATGAAGTATTAATCCACCCCATTCTGTGCTGTATTGTCTTCAGCAGAAACTCTGCAGTCAGATCTGTTGCTGAAGGAAAGTATCTGTAGCCTAATTAGCGGTATTATTGTTTCACTTTGTTCTTTATGTGCACGACACACTACACCATGTGCTACATGTGTGGTCTGTCTGCCGGTTTTCTATGACTGCCGCTGGACTTTCCATTTCACAGTTCGAATCGAAACATTGTATCACTTCTCGTTTCATTGAAGCATTCAGAAAGCATCATTCGAGCATTATGTCTCGCCGTGTCACGTTTCGCTTGTGTGTTTTATCTGCAGCGTTTCTGTGCCAGAGGTCTGCGCGGTTGGCTCTGTGGTCTAATTAACAGCATTGCTAATCACAGCTTCCATTAGAGCAGCCCCCGCTGGATAATGACACACACACACAGCAAGGGGCGACAGGGGGAACAGCATGCACAGACATGGACAGACAAACACATACACAGGCAAACAATAAGGCAAGCTTCTGACGACGAGTCACGGCCATATGCCCGTCTTTGCAGACATTCTTACACACGGAGAAGGAAGGCATAAACCCACAGTACACTACAGTGACACACCGGACATCACCAAGGCTCTTTTGTTGACTTTGTCTGTCTCTCTTTGTACAGGTGGATATATCGCACATACAGCAATGTGACAGTTTGTGTAGTTCAGAACGCATTTAGAACAATGATACCATTGGTCCATTTTAGTGTTTTTGTTTTGTTTTGCTTTTTTGTTTTTTTTGTTTTTTTTTTTTGGGGGGGGGGTCATGCTCCACATGCTCCAGTATAAGCTTATAGCTTATACTGGAGCATGTGGATTGACCACATAAACTGAACAAAAGAAACCTTTTGACCACAAAAAACAAGTTGTTACTGAAAATATTCTGTCCCACTACATCATCTGCTACTCTGCCAATATAGCCAGTAAACTGTACCAACATCAGTAAACATACAGAGTTGTTCATCCATTGTTTTGTAGCTGACAGGCTGTTTGCTAGTGTAGGTAAACCTCTTGTCTAATTCCCATAATTCTCACATCAGTCAGTGGTATTCTTTGCATCTGTCTCACTCAATCACCCCCCATAAAGTTGAATTTTAACTTGGTACCAACTCATTTTGTGCCTCCACCAATTATTTAGTCTCTCATTGCTACATGTTGTTGAACTCCACACTCCCTGGTGTCCACAGCATCTCAATTCCTGCAGCAGATTGTGTTTACTCTTTGAATTAAATGTGTTGTGGAAGATATTATGTTTTCAATAATGGAATGTATCTACAGAGACAGAGGTATAAATAAAACAAATGATATTCTAGCTCACAAGAGGCACCCCACTGTCTCCTCAATTGAACTGTTGCCATCTGGTCAACAATATTGCCCCCTCGATTTGCTAAAAACACATCTACATTAGAACGTGTTCTCCAGGCCATTGACTTTTAAAACTGGTAAAACATAAATCAGTAGTTCTGGTGCTGAGCTGGTCTGGCCATCCTAATCTGTTGCAAGGTGCGCAGTATGAGTGAAATGATGCTTAGTTTGTTGTGATGAAATTACTGTTTTTTTATATCATATCATTGCATATCATATCTGCTGTATGTGCTTGTAAGGACGTCAACGCGTGCAATGGAAACTGTTAGCCATGAGCATATCAAACAGCTGCTGTGCACGTGAACACAGGAAGAAGGGATCAGTAGCTTGTGTTGTGTATGCATGTGTTCCTGTGTGTTGGTAGGAGGAGTTTGTAGGGGTAAAACCCTGTGGTGACCTGTGCCCCCAGCCAAAGCGAGGGGAAGTTGGGGGTGACTGGGGCCAGAAAGGAGATGAATGGGTGTGAATGGAAGAACTTGACTTCTGGGGCCAAAAGGGGACTATTGTACCTTAACCTATTCACTTTACACATTGAAGCTGCTGCTGCTGTGTGTGTGTGTGTATGTGTGTGTGTGTGTATGTGTGTGTGTGTGCAAGCATCCAACATGCATGTGGAGTTCAGGACAGGTGGGCCGGTCACTAAAGGTAGTGCTGTTTTTTTCTTCCTCAAATCTATGAGGGGAAATCCACTCTCAGTATTTTTAAGTCGTGCACATTTTTCAAAATACAACAACAAATAGTTTCAATGGCATTTACCCAGAATGCCAGATTGACCTCTCACCCCCTTGTGCATCCACTGTGACATGAGGCAGCTTACAAAATAAAAGATGCTGGGAATGAGCAAGAGATGCAGGGTGGAGGGAGGGGATCGTCGCCCTTCGTGCGTAGCTCCTCCCGGCTCAGAAAAACTTTGATCTCTGGAGTTTGGATCAGGCACATACACACTCTCACAGACAAAAAAAAAATCATTACACACACACATGCAGGGAAGAGCTGGGGCTGTGAGGTCAGACTTGTGACACTTGGGCTATCAGCATGATTATCTATGTCAAGAGCAAAAAGAAGCCCACTGGTGGTGTTCTAACCTCTGCAGACATGCATGTATAAGCAGGCAGGAAAACAGACAAATAAGTGACAACTCATCTAATTCTTTAGGGTATTTGGATTTAATAATTCAACTGCTTCTGGATTCTTGGGAAAAATGGCAGCAGCAGGCTGTTATGGAAGACGACTGTGATGGAGAGAGAGCAAGAGAGGCAGGAGGGAGGGAGAAAGAGAGAGAGAGACAGAGAAGGCGGAAGAGAGAGGAAAAAGGCAGAAAGGAGAGAACAATAAGGGCTCATTGTTTGTTTTGTTCTGCTCTGAAAAAGAGGGAAGAGAAGCGCTTCCCTTCTGAGACTGAATCACAGAGATAGAGGCAGCTGTGTGTGTGTGTGTGTTTGTGTGTGTGTGTGTGTGTGTGTGTGCACGCATCCAACAGTGAATAGGATTTAACCCGTCACGGCAATGAGTTTCTTTACCCATCCATGGATACAATGAGACCAGCCGGATATCAAGCTACCCACCCACCCACAGTCACAGCCTCAATCACATCCATACCAAGGCCCATGCATGCACACCTCAAGACACACACACACACCATGCACACCTCAAGACACACACACACACACACACACACACACACACACACACACACACACACACACACACACACACCTTTACACAACTTCATACAGATGAATGGACAATATTGATTATCATAAGTAAAAGCTTTGTTCTTACTGCTCGATTACAGCAGGTTCTGTCATCTCCCCTGTTCTGTCTTTCTCTGGTTCTTTGTGGGTGCTCCACCATGACAGACACAGGTCAGTCTTTCAGGGTGCATTTGTGTGTGTGTGTGTGTCTGCGCACATATGAGAGAGTTTGTGTGTGCAACAGAGAGAAAGCAGAAAGCAATAAGCTGGCTGAAATGGTGCCATCAGAGCTACATGATTGATCAATTGAATTCCATCATGGGGACTGGCCGGTGGGATTAAATGGGTTGCCTTGGGTTACCAGGCTAAAGCATCATACTGGCTTTATCTCCCACCCTGATTGGTCTGTCACCGGAGACCTGGACCATACACTCACACTACTCCCAGCATCTGTATATGAGTGTGTGTGTGTGTGTGTGTAAGAGAGAGAGAGATTATAATCAAACCTCTGTTTGTGAGAGAGGGTTTTGTGTACTGAAGATGTAGAGGGAGGTTTAGTGTGTGACACAGAACTGTAGTATGAGCTAGATACTGTCTGAAGATTTAAAGGTTTGCTAGAAGTCTTTGAATTGATCCAAAGCCACAGGTTGTGCCAAGAAATTTAGCTAACACACATCAAACTGTAAGCAAACATTTTGCAACCAGCTTTGGTACCGATATACAACTCTGGGACTGTAATCCATCCATCCATCCATCCATCCATCCATCCATCCAGGAAAGGTTTTCAGTCTATCCTGGTGCATTTGCACTCACACCTATAGCCAGTTTAACCTGAAACTTTTTAGACTATCGAAAAAAACCCATCCAGCCACATTGCGAACACACAAACTTCACACAGAAAGGCCACAGCCCACAAACAACTTCAAACCCAGAACTTCCTGCTTAGAGGAGAAGTGCTAACCTCTATATCGTCACAGTGCCATATGCCAATCTACTAAATGCTTGACAGTCTTAGTTCTGCCTGTCACTCTTGGATGTGCACAGAGATCACCTAAATAATGAACCAAAACAACAAAAAAAGTGAAAAAACAAACAAACAAACAAACTGTCAGTTTCTTTATTAGGCTACTGTCGATGTAAACTTACATAATCCTCTTATCTTGTACAAAGGATCAATTAATTCTGACTCCTCACAAAACACTTTATTTTCCTCAATGTAATCTACCTAAACTTGCTTACTTAAAACCCATTGCATCTTTGCTGTAAACCAGTAATTCTTGCTTATGTCGTAAAACCTTTTTTAGATTATGTTTTTAGGAATGTGACTAGAACAAATAAAGAATGAATAAGATTAAGTAAATCTATGTTAAAGAAGAAACCTGTCATTCTTATAGATTACTATACTGTCTCAGCTCAGTCCTTAGCTGAAATCTCAGTTACTTCTTTATTACAAAGTGAATTATACTCTGATTTATCATCTATTTTATACAGATAGGGAACAACTATTTAACAAAATTAATACAATTAAAATGTGAAAACTAGTAAATAAGACCACAAAGTCATTAGGAAAAATGTTTCCTGATATTAAATGAAATAAGAAGTCATTTAAAATTCTCACTGACTTATAAAATCAGATTAGCAAAACTCACCCAAAAGCTGTTTCTGTAGTTTTGAAGTCATTAAATCTGAAATACTACATTTTAACAAACACTCTAACCTTTATAAAACAAATATAGTCTCCCCTGCAGTAGCACAGGTCTCAGTAACTACATGTAGTGGTATTAAAAGTTATCCACAACTACAGAATTTCAAAACAGGAAGCATCCCTTGAGGTTAAATATGGTTAGACAGACATTTTTTTCTTTCTTTCTTCAGTTTTTTTTATTAGAACTATTCTGGTGCAAATGAATCTGTATTTTCAGTCCAAATGGAAAAAAAATATATATATATATTTGAAGCCCCCTCCCCCCTCTCCACCTGTCTGTCATATCCCTACCCTGGACACACATTCACGCACATACACACACTAAACACACAGTGACCCCCAGGACTAAAATAGGCTCTCAGGAGTGGTTTGGAACGCTGAATTGGCTCTATAGTGGGGATTTTCACCCTCATCCCCTTTTTCTCTTTATCTTTTTCTCTCGTTCTCTCTTCTCTAATCATTTGTGGGCCGCGACTCTTCAGAGTTCTTATAATTGTCTCGTTCAGTCCCTCAGCCTTGCAATAACTGCAGGATACGAGAGCTCACAGTCTAATACTGATACCGTGGCAATATATATTTGTGTGTATGTGTGTGTATGTGTGATACAACGAGAGGGGACGGACAAGTGTGTATATATGAGAGGAGAGAGTGTACTTTTTAGAGATCAAGAAGGAGAGACAGCGTATGCTTGGTAATGGATTGCATTTGTATACCATTTTCTCTGAGCCTCCACAATCTATGAAGTCGCTCAGTCTTAAATCAGTTCACTGGAGTTCATTTGAGTCCACTAACTTCTTTCTCCACATCTGTCTTAGTGATTTATATTGTCAACACACGCTTTCACTACTCCCTTCATTCCTCTATCGCTGTCTGTCTGGGTTTTCCCTCCATAACATAAACCAGACTCACAAAAGCTTCCTTTTATCTTGCTCATTTCCTCTCCCTTTCAGTTATCATTCCTCTCTTAAAAATTCTGCATTTACAGCCTGTCTAATCCCTCTCCTTTCACCTGTCCTCTCTGTGCAGGTTTGCAGGAGTCACCGCTGGCCAATGGACACGGCCACAGTGGGCGGGACTTCCTCAGGAAGCAGATGAGAGGGGAGCTATTCTCGCCACAGCAGATCGAGGTATTGGACCGCCTCTTTGACAGACAGCCATCCTGTCCAATCCAGTCCAGCTCTGACCTCTATGTGAGCCCTGATTCTGGCAAGGTAAGGGCGAGGCATCGTGCAGGCTCTGGGCTGAGGCTGAGGTTGGGAAGAGGTTAGGAGTCAACAAGAATGTAGTTGTGGGCTAATGAAAAATAGGGGCTGTGACAGGAGATAACCGCTCATGAAAAACAAACAGAAGCTGACTAAAGCAGAAGTGGCGTCTCCTGTGTTATCACCTCACGGCCACCAGACACAGCAGTGTACTTCAAGTCACTGTCACAGCACAACAGCCATTCAGCCATCCTATACTGTAAGTCTTTTTTCGCTGAGTTCAGACATTTTTTTTCTTACTGTTTACAAGACCATGAAAAGATCCAAAGCAACAAATATGTTTCCCCACTAACAAGTGCTTTGTCCTCGTTCAAAGACATACATTTTTTTCATCCCGCTAACCGTGGCCCTTCACCACCTCTGGTTATAGACAAGAAAATAATACAAGGGCCTACCTGGGATGTAGGTGTAACTGCAGCACAGAGGTTAAAGGGCCTCTCATCCTTTTCAGAACGTGTGTTTTTTTTATTTACAATCTCTGACAAAAAATAAGCACAATATAAAAAAGCATACACTTTTTTTTACACCAAGGTATATGTTTTGATTAGAAGACGGCCTACTTTCACCAACCTGGAATCTCCAAATAAAAACATCCAAGAACTAATGCTCAACGGTTGCGTGCCACACATGCAAACAAAATTAAAACAAACAGCGCTAGACTAACACATTGTTGTTTTTGGTCTTTCCATCAATAAGAGCAAAACTGTAGAATGGCACAAGTCTCATCGTTTAAAGAGACAGTGTGCAGGAGTTTCAAACTGCCACCAATATGACAGTTATTTGGGTTTTCCAGTGGACACAGGTGCAAAATTCTTTTTTTTTGTAGCTGATAGTAAAAAAATGTAAGACAGGAAAGCTTAAAATGTAATGGACTATTTTGGGATTTACATAGTACAGAAGCCAGATTAGTTTGTAGTTTATCAGTTAACATTTAAAGGTTTATCTGACTGTCATATAAAATATTTGTCTCTGTTTTTAGAAAAAAAAAAAGCCTGCCTGCTATGCCTTGCCATGCCATGTCAATGTTGCTGACTGCTGTCACATTGCACAACAAATAATCCCATTTTAAAAAAGCTCTCTCTCTATCCAAGCGCTTCACTCATCCTGTCTTTTTCCCAATTCTTTCATGTTGCTGTGAGCTCTCAAAGTGTCAGCATCAAGTCGTGTTTTCACTGTTGGCTTGACAAACCGCTGTGAGTTTCTTTGGCCTGATAGACACTGTGATGAGTCAGACCTGCTCTATTGATGTTCCTATAATGTAGACACACTACAGGGGTTAATGAACATATTGACCCGACTCTCATTATGACCTCACTTCCTGCTGCTTGGTGGGACGGCAGTGCCGCTGTCCGCATGCTGATGCGTCTTGGGAATGTGCGTATGCGTGTGATCGTTTGCATGTGAGAGAAAAAGAGAAAAACGAGACGAGAAAACCGAGAGCGAGAAAGGGTGTGTCTGTGTGTCCTAATGTTGCATCTAAATTGACCTCCCGCCCTTTCTCAGGAGTAAATTAATGTAAATCTGAGTGGAATAGACAGGTGTAAGTGGTATGCTGAATAACAAAATGACAACAAGCTAGCATTTGTATTCTCTCTACCTTTTCTCAGATGCCTTCTAATCAGCAACCCAGAGGCCAATATTAAGGAAATATTTGGCCAATGTTTCAAAATGAAATTTTTGTTTCAGCGAGCTTTCAAGCTGACACTGCTTCTGGTTTATTTATTCAGTCATTGCCAAGGGCAAGAGTACAAGCAAACTCCCGAGTAGTCGGAGTATATGGAAGCATAAATAGGCTGCAGCCTTAGACCTACAGGGCAGAGTTTGGCTTTTTAGTCCATTCTCTTTCCTCTGACCGACATGGGGACTTGAGTGGCACAGGGCGAGAGGTCGACAGGGATTGGCTGTAGTAGCTCTATAGACTGGGACTCAAGACTATAATACCCATGATTCATAGGTCAGTGTCCTGTCTGAGCCTGGTCAAGCCACTGGGGTCGGTGTCTGGGATAGGGGAATCAAACTGGGGTCAAACTGGCTTTAAGAAGTGCATTACAAAGAGACCCAAGCAATCACAACCGCATGCACACAAACACACACACACAAATCTACATGACTATCTGGTCCTCCACCTCTGCTAACCCCCCTTTTTCCCACTGGGAATGATTGACACTCTTAGCCTTAACGCTGACAGCCACAGCTTAGGCTCTTTGGTATGTGGGCTGAGGTGTCTGTACATGTGTGCGTGAGTGTGCGCAGTAACCACTATTGGTGGGGTTATGGTCAAGGAGGGTCACCCTGCCTTGCGACTGACATTCCTGACAGATTTGTCCCTGCTGGTGATGTTTTGTATGGGGTCGTCTTTTACGAAACGCGTGTCAGTGTGTGTGCATCGGACAAAGACATGTCCAAAACTATGAAAACCAAAGTAAAGACAGAAGAGCAAAAGGCTCAGATTCAGGTGTTATACTAATAAACTGTAATCTCAGTGGTTACGTCAAGCTCCTCATTATTTTTTAGCTTTCTTGCACTAAAACATGAGGCTTACTCATTATTTTGTCTTCCTTCGTCCCACTTGAAGAGACCAAAAGCAATACCGCTCGCAAGCAAATCTTATTTTATCTGTCAGCAGTAGTTACTCGTCTATCCTGTTTATTTCAGACCTTTTTCTTTATCTTTCTTTCCTAACAAGCCCTGCTTTTATCTCATCTGCCTCTCCTGCTCTTGTTCCACTTCACCCTGTAGTCTATTAAGCCCCGCTATTAATTTATGTGTGCGTGCTCGTATGTGTGTCTGCATGTGTGCCTGTCAGAGACAGTTCATTTGAATTTCCCTTCAATCACTTTCTATTACCCAGGTGATAAATCAGCAGGGCTGACAAACACCCCCGCCCATCCGTGCTGCCCTGGGTCCAAACGCCCACCCCAGTACCAAGCAGTTTACACTGAGATGTGGACAGAGAAAAAGGAGACTGATATTTAGATATATAGATTTTTTTCTTTACTTAAAAGGATTTCTATCTTGGGCTCCAGTTTGGCTCAGATGCCCTGTGGCTGAAATGCAGCGGCCCGGGTTTGAATCCGCCCCTTGACCCTTTGTGTCTTCCCCTCTTTCCTGTCTACTCTTTACTGCTGCACTAAACGCAAAAATGAAGAATGCATCTCAGGTCATTTCAGCTAGTTCATCTCATCATTGACCGCAGAATGTTTTCCCCACACAACAAATAATAAATCAAGAGAAAACAAGTAGTCAGGAAACTAGAAATAACGCTAAATTCATCGCTTTATAACTTTACTTATAAAGCTTTAATAAGCATGAGCTTATTAAAGTATCCTGCAGGAAATTTCACAGTGGAGTTAGAGATTGAATTTGATGGCTCCAGAGTGTAGTGGTTCACACATTTAACTGAAAAGTAAAAGATACACTTTTTGATTCTAGGAGGAGACACAAATCCCTGTGGGGTTGTAACAGGAAAGTAGCTTTCAGGTGAAGATTGGATTTAGATGCACAAAGCCACAACATTTTATTATTAACACTGAAACTATTTAAGTGTGATCAGACGCATCAACCATGCTGCCCAAATTTGGAAAAAAAAAACAGCAGACTTTGCGTCATTGTGTAATCACTACACTAAACGTTTTTTTTTTTTATCATGCATACAAGAAGTTTAACAGTAAACAACTGCAAAACTTAGATAAATTAATTAATTATAAAAAATGTAAAAACTTCCACTCATGTGGCCTACAGCGGCCCCGTGACTCATAAGGAGCTGAGCCTCCATGAGACGCCTGTTTGGAAATGAGTATCCTCCCCTTGCTGCCATGCTCAGTTTGAGCACAGATAAATTCCTTCCCCACAATCCCTGTCTCAGTCTGTGGGCCACTCAGGGAATTGTATTTGTTTATAGTCAAGCAATTTTCCATCAGGAGCACTCAAGCCAATGTGGCGAATGGGAGAGAGAGAGTAGGAGATGGAGAAATCACGAGCTATTTTGGAAGTGGTGAAAATAGGAAATACTATTATGCAAATGGTACAGAAGGGCCGGTCTGTGTGTGTATTTGTGTGTTTGTTTGTGTTTATGTGTGTGTCTCTGGCTGACTTGGGCACATCTGTCCCATTTCTGACTCAGCAGACCAAGCTGCTGCGTGGAAGAGACACGGTGATAGAACGAGTGAGATTAAAACTTAGTGCAGCTGCTTTTAAAGAGTTAAAGTGTTATGATAAAGGACTGCTATCTGTTAACCCTTTAGAAGACAGAGTTAACGAAACAAGAAAGGAGAAAATGCATCGAAGCAGACAGCAATAATCAACCAATGAGAAAGTGTGTATGTTATACCCTAAAAAAAGTGCTGCATTTATATAAAATGAAAATAAAACACTGGAAACAGTGAGTGCCGTCCATGATGTGTAACTTTAGTGGAGTAATGAAGTGAAATTTGATCCCGTGAGTCCACTTTCAGTGACAGATCCAAGAATGTGAAGACTTAGATTTCAAAGCAATGTAAAGTTTGTGAGTTAGTTAACTTCAAATGCTTTAACTCATTGGTCACAGAAGAAAAACTAAAAATGACCAAGTTCTCAGTATTACCATATATTGGTGGGATGCTGCTGCTGCTGAGTGCCCTGCTCTACATTCTTTTCTCTATCCCACTAATTTATCAATCGATTAACATTTCCCTCCATCTCAGCCCCATTTCCTGTCTCCTCCTTATTCCTTATTATTTCTTTATAGCGACCCTTTATATCTGCCAGGTCCCCCTCCTGCCACCTTTACTTGTTTCCTCCCATCTTGCCCCGAACAACCCCTCCCCATCAGCATCGCCAACCCCAAACCCCAACCCCTCCATGGCCCGGCAGCTGCGTCCCTCCTCTTTGATGAGGGCTGATGGCGCTGTATGAGCGGTGGAATTGACAACATTTACGGGGGCGAATGAGAATGATCCATCTTCCTTAGCGGGCCTGTCACCCCACTGGCCAAACTTCATCATGGCCAATTACCACGGCAGACCCCTTCTTCTCTGGTGCTGCTGCTGCCTGGCCCCCATCTACACACGGATACATGGACACATTAGACACCATTATAATAAGACAGAGAGCGGCCAAGAGAAAGGGGGGGAGGGTCGGGCGGGCGGCTGTGCAGTGATAGCTCATATGATTGGATGAAGAAACTACAGGTGTGATGTGTGTGATGTGTTTGATGTGCGAGAGAAAAGAGAGCTTAAAAGTGTGTCTGAAGTCCAAAGAGAGAGAGAGAGAGTGAGGGAGGATGTGTGTAGTGTACTGCGTAAGCTCTTATTTGGCAGGTCACAGTCCAGTGGTTGTGTTGTGTGTTGACGAGCACAGGGGTGTTTAAGAGGTCAGTGAGCACAAACACACGCCTACACTTACACCTCCACACACACAGATGCAGACGCATTAAAAGGGTCAGTGCAAAACTCTCACCTCATCACCTAAAGGAAATTCTGATTGGTGTCATTAGTGTACACACACACACACACACACACACACACACACACACACACACACACACACACACACACACAGGTCAGTAGTAACAGAATGGGAGGAAAAGCTACAGAAGGAATTTCATGCGATAAAGTGCAATATTTCATTTGCTCAGTTTTATTTACTCACACAGTGGGAACAGTTTGAGGTTCAGTGTGTTGGTCGAGTGTGCTTCAAAATGCAGTCAGGAGGAGAATTTAATGACCAACTTACTAAGCTTTTTTTAAGCCACCCCTAAATAATCATACACTATATGCTTATATTTAATTGCCGAACTCCAGATGAATATGTGTCTCTTTTCCAATACTGTGAGTAGGGCTGTTTAGTACATACACAAATTAATTGAAGCTGAGTGAGAGCAGTTTAGTTAGCTCAGTCATTATGGCTTTCCGGTTAAAAACGCTGCTGCAGAAACATTCATGTGACATGAACTCTTACCTAAAAAAGAGCTAAAGCTTACCTCGCAGTAGTCAATTAACACAACAGACAGATTTAATGAGCAAACGACTGAATGTACTACTCCACACAGTCTTAATTGTGGCCACAGAGTAATGAATGGTGTTTGCCTGTATGCTTTGCTTGCATTTGCTTGTTGCTGTAATGCAAGGTTTATTTATATGATCACTTGTCTCAAAGTCACCAAGGAATGGACTTAAATATTTTATTGTAAGCCCCACATTTTTATTTCTAGTGCACCTCTTTTCTGCACTGACTTACTTATGATGTTACTTCCTTTTCTGCATTTTAAGGAACAGACGAGCTTAAACTCCCTGATGCTGAGAGCCAATCTTTTTTTTAAAGTGTCAATTTCTGCACAGCCTTTATTATTATTATTATTATTATTATTATTATTATTATTATTATTATTATTATTATTACACACACGGTAATGTGCGTATCTCTGACTTCAGAGGTCAATACATGACTTTAACCTTTACCTACCTGCCTAACACTACAAAAAAGACATATATTCACCTTAAAATGATAATCATTTGCATGACGGGGATTTTGTCCCAATAAGGGGTAAGTCCCCAGTAAGTCACTGTGTACAGTGATTTAAGTCCCTGCATGATGAGTAATGTCTGGACCACACATAATTACACACACACTTGTCTAGTAGAGAAATGAGGATGGATGGGTCGTGACTCTGTGCTGGGGTCAAACACAGGTTAGCGGACAGTTTCCATTATCCACCCATCTCACTGCCTTTCAGCCAGGCTGGGTTATTAAAGACCTCTTTCAAAGTTGCGTCCGTATGATCCAAAGATCATAACCCATGTTGTGGACAGTGAGTTATTTGACATTTGTGTACTGTACGACCATACTGTTGTATTTTCTGGTTTTCTTCTTTTGTGTGTCTTGCTAGTTAAGCTAATTTCCTTTCATGTGTTTGTGGGTTTTGTTTTTTTGAAGTGTTTTTTTGTCTGGATCACATTATCACATGTTTCTTTATTTCTTTTTTTCTTTTTTCCTTCTTTTAAACTTCAATATTATTTTGTTTCTAAAGAAACTGTACATTCAGACAGTGACGTATTGTTTTGTCACTGAGTGCTTTTTAAGTTTTTGCAGCGTGTGTGTATGCTGGGTTAACACCACTGGGAGAACGTGTGTAGGTGTGCTGAGATGATCACAGTTCTTATTGTTGTTGGTATCTGGGGAGACAAGAGGCTTTGTGTTAGCCGTGGTCTATGTAATGCCAGCACGTATGTGTGGATATATATACGCGTGTCTATGTATCCTGTGTGTGTGAGGGATGAAGAGAAAGAGCAAGCTGATCCTGTGGTTATAGACTGTTGGACTTGGTTGTACAGTAAATCCCTGTCTTTGTAAACAGATCAATAAACTCTCAGCTGTAGGTGTGTTTCTGTATGTGCGTGTGAGTCTGTGTGTGTCTGTGAGTTTGTGTTCATTCTAAAGCGCTTTTGCTCTCTGCTCTGAGGAAAGTGCAGCATGCTGAAAATGTAGCAGGATGTAACAAACACTGCATCCGCGTTAGATCTAACAGCAAGCTAGCCTCATAACATGTACTTGTTGTTTTCAATTTTTGTTAATAAGTTTACCTTTTGTTTACTTCCTCCTTTCTTCCAGACATCAGATTATTCAGCCATGGCTTCATTAGCAGGAGGACTGGATGAGATGAAGAACAGTTTGGCCAATCCGGGCACAGGGGCAGAGTTAGGAGCCAGCGTCTCTGGTCCACAGTCCTACTCACTAGTTCCAGGTAAAAGTTACACCTAGCTAATAATCTTAACTTCACATCTGAGAGACATTTTGAAATGACTAAATAAAGGGTTTTCATATAAATGTTAATTTTCCCATGAAGCTTTGTTTCTGTACACATTTCTTTTCTTTATGTTGCTTTTGCCTTTTAGAGGAGCAAACGTCTTAGAAGTGGAATGATCTGTTGTGGATATTTATGAAAGAGACTAAAAAAGTAGTGCATGTGTACTATGAAGAGTGAGATTTTGAATTCTTTTATAATTACTACCCTCCTATTTGGTTACACAAAAAAATGTGAATGTTTGTTGTTTTTTTTAAAAGAGAGAATTAAAAGATTGCTTGGTTTTGTTTAGTTTTATGATTAAAACTGCTAACCTATTGCTGCACAATCCCATAATTCACACATAAAAGTTCCATAAAATATTTCAGTCAGAAGACAAAACTCTGGTGTTTTATACTTTAGAGTCAAGCCTTAGCTGGAGCTCTGACAGTCGTATTTAAACAACACACACACACAGAGAGAGTAAAGTAAAGGCTTTTTAAGTCTACCTCAGCAGTGGCAGGAGCGCCAAAATTGTCAGGGCTTAAAGAGCTTAACGCTTTGGATCTCAAAGGAGGAAGGAAACTCAGAGAGAAGAAGGAAAAGAAAGGTGGAAGGATGGATGAAAAGTGAGAGCCTCGTCTATTCCTCCTTTTCCATTTAGGGGCACTGGGAGAGGCAGTGGTTAATTAAGAGTAGACCAGGGAGCACTTGGACAAGGCTTTGACACTCCCATCTGTAATGAGGGGAATCATAGAGCTGGGAATTTGGGATATCTGGGAATGGGCTCGTTTTTGCCGCCTCAAACCACTGAGGAATATTACCTGCTCGTGTTGGAAGAGAGAAAGAGCGAGACACGGAGAGCATGAGCAAAAGAGAGCAAGATAAAAATTTCCATTTCTGCTTATGCATGCAAACACACACATTCTGTTACACACACACACACACCTTCTGACTATTATGCATACATTTCCTTGCCTGTCTTTTCCCTGAGAATAGAGCTCCCTCAAGGGGATCAGACGTCTGTGTGTTTGACGCAATGTTATTGCATCCTTGAAGTGGTGATACACTGGACACATGCTGTAGAGCAACGCTCACACTCTCATCCCTCAATTCTAAGGTCTTTCCAAATCTGTAGGGCATTTTATTTTATCCTGAACTTCACCCAGTCTACTATAGCACAAAAACACACAAAGGGACACACACTGTGCAAGCTTGATCCCTCCAGGTTTGACATGTGTTGCTTTGATGGCTGGCTGAAATGGGAGAGTTAGATAGGCAGACAGTATGAGAGTAAGAGAGGCAGAGGATGTGTGTTCATCTGTAGCTGCAAGTGAGCGTGGAGGAGACTTGTACTTGTTCGTTGACCTCTGCAGGAAAGCTGTGGAGAACAGATACATCAATACAACTGGCAAACATATGCACAAATACGCTGTGTGCACTTTCGTGTACATACACACTCATGCATACACACCTCAGAGGATCTGGCCCTGTCTGCCCCCTCTAAGTTGGGCTGTAGAGAGTCCATCTCTCCTCTCTCTCAGCCTCTCCTCCCTCTCCTCCTTGCCCTGTGCACTGACCCTGAGCGGATGAGTAGCCCGTCTGCACTAATGCCTCGCTGTCGCGTCAAACACAGAGAAAAACTTTACTACACGAGACAGGAGAGAGGAGGTGGAGAGGGACAGATAGAGGCTGGAGTAGGGAAGCAATATGTGAGGGAGAAACACAAGTAGGGAGGGAGGTGCAGAGGGAAATAGGAAGTAAAGAGGACAGAAAAATGAAAGGATTTAAGATGTTCATTTTTTTGCTGATAAGGACCATAAATGCTGTTTTTCTTTTATTGCTCCATTTGTCCACTTTCCCTAGCATGCGAACATGTACAGTTGGGATTTTTTTTTTTTTATCTATGTATACTTGCTGAAATGTAATTGGAGGCCACATTACCCATAGACATGACAGTGTTTGCCAGCTATTCAACTTCCTTGATCTCAGACCTTTCATTTATGAAATGCTCAACAAATATTTGATGGGTTGCAATAAAATCCATCCAGCCATCCAGCCATCCATCCATCCTCAAGTTTTCATTGACTACCCACAGCCAATGATCACAGGCAAGGATAGAAATGCGGATCAACCAGTAAATCAACAGCTTTGTTTTTCGCTCGACTCTCTTCTCCACAACATCCTGTTATAGCCTCTGCATCACTGCAGACATTAGACTAATGCATCTGCCAGTCTCCTGCTCCGCTTTTTCCAAGATGCTCAAACTAAAACAACAGTGTGCTGCTTTTATTGGCTGAATTTTGGTTGACCAGAGCAGGACCTTTTACAATTAATAATTTGTCCAATTACGCAACATCTCCTTAGCCATTAGATTTTGCCTGTTTCCGTGTGGACTGCTGTTCTGCAGTTTCATATTCTTTATTGGTCTTTTAAAATGATCCTTTATTAAGCTAATGCTCACAATAGTTGCTAGCTTGATTAGGGTTAGGGGTTATTCAGTGTGATATTTAATAGGATAAACAAAAACTTACTAAACAAACAAAAAAACACACACAAAAAACAACACAAAACTGACCAGATGTGTATTTGTGTAACTCATAAACAAGCAAGGCATAGATCTGACTGAAAAACCACACTGCAAGTCTACATTGTTTTGAATTGTTAATTCAAGAGTAGCAAATCCCTAAAGCACATCCTGCTTATTGGTTATTGTACTCTGAATAGGATCATAATTTATTTCATTATGCTGTATTGAAAAATACTATTAAAAATTGAAGCTTGTGAGGAAAACATTTAAAAAAGTAATAAATAAACTGAACAATGGGATGTTTTTCTTCTACACAATCAGACCTGAGGAATCAGACCCTCTGCTGGTCATTATCGGTACTGCTAGTTTAAAGCATTTCAGCATTGGCTACACTTTTCATGCCAATCTCCTATGTCCATCTTTACTGTACAGTCTATGTTCTTGAGTCATTATTCAATGTATGAACCTTAAATGTCAAACAAATATAATGTACAGGCAGTTTATAAAATACTAAATAAAATATAAATAAAATAGTAGATTGTGACATTATAAATCCAGGTTGCCATACCGGATGACTGAATTAAGCTTTTAATACTTTCTTTAAAATACTTTTGAGTGCATGATGGTTACTTATACAGGAGGTGGAGAAAACTAATACTGTGATATTGCTTTTACTCAACAATTTCTTCGTTAGGTGTCACCACAGCCATTCATCTGTCCCCATCTCACCCTGTCCCTAGCTTCCACCTGTGCCACACCAACCCTCTGCATGTCAACCATCTTGCCTCATCTTCCTCTTTTCCTCCTGCCTGGCAGCTCCTTTTTCAACATCCTTTTTCTAATATATCCACTAACCCTCCCAGTCATATGTCCAAACCATTTTACTTTATCTCATGAAAACAAATATTTATCTACCATGGTTGTTGACCTTCTAGCACATATCCCTCCTTTCTTATTCTCGTACCTGTTTGCTCTTTTTTTGCTTTTTGCTATTTCTGTTCCTCTTGTTTTTTATATTCTGTATTTTACTCTCCCACCTTGTTCCCCTTTCCTCCTCCTCCTCCTCCTCCTCCTCCTCCTCACTTAGTTAGTGGTGGTTAAGTGGAAGGGAAGTGAATGGGATTGATGGTGTTAGCATCCGAGCTGTTTATGATGATGATAAATGTGTGTGTGCAGGGGGCAGGAGGAGGGTGTTGATGCGTGTGTGTGTGGTTGAGTGTGTGTATATGATGATGATGAATGGAGGGCACCCTCTCCACGCACTTCCAGTGTCTACTGCGCGCAAACATAGAGAAATGATTTGGGTCGACACACTGTCATGTAGTCTAATGCAGTTATATATCCTATCCACCAAGTGACAGACAGAGCAAGGAGGGGGAGATTCAGGTAACGAGAGACGGGGGAAGTTGGTAAATTAATAGATGCCAGGAGATGGAAAACAAGACTGGAGGAAACAAAAGGAGAAAAGGATGCCCTGCTCCTGCATGATTTAGTAAAATAAAAACACTGCTTACCTTTTTCATTAAGTGATATTAATTGAAATCACTCATCACTGTGAGAAAGATTTTGCAGTTTGGTTTTAATCAATTTTCCTTTAAATCTCAATTTAAAAAAAAAAAAAAAATTATGTTGAGCCCATTACTTTATTAAAGAGGCTTTTATACTCTCTGTGGTCAGCACTATTTCTGCATTTATAGCAGTTATACTTATTGCTAAATGTATTTTAGCACTAAAAGTATTCTTCTGGTCCAACAAGAAACAATTAAAGGTCATTAAACACAGGCACCAATCAAGGACACATTAATGTGATTATGCTAAATTAGAATTAATACTGATAACATTGTCATGTATCATAACTGCTGTATGAAACCTATCATTTGTTCTTTAATCATTTTGGGCTTTTGATAAAAAAAAAAATATATATATATATATATATAATTTTTTCTAGTACATCACATTTTTTCACAAGTGCCAATCATGATCCAGATGTTTTTCGCTGCATCCGTGGAAGCTTCACTACATCCAAACTGCAGCAAAAAAATAACAGATTTTTTGTAAAAAAGAAAAGAAAGAAAGAAAGAAAGAAAAAAGAGGGTATATTTTGCTTATTTTTGGTGCCAAGACAAACAACCTAACATGGTATCAGCACTGGCTTAGTTGATGAGAGAAAGGAGTCTGATGATGTATTGCCTGCAACAATGTAGTGATTAAGACTTTGAAGATCTCTTATAGTGTCTCAGTTGTCCCCCGGTTATTCACTTAGTCAGAGTTAAAGGACTTAGTACCAGATTCGGATCTGGCAAAGGAAGCAGATGAGATGCTTGAGTCTAGACTCAGTAAGAAAAGCTTCCTGGCTCCAGGAACCGGACTTTCCTATTATAGGCATTGTGAGAAGGATCTTATTCCATTCTTTCTAATGGATGATGACTTCGTTTATTCTGGTGATGCTGAAGATCTTTTGGGTGCCGTGGGTTGTGAGTACAATCCAGGTTGCTCCAGAGCCAGCCTTTTCTCCTACTGCACAAAAGCAGTAACTTTGCAACCATGTCCATTGTTTATTCTGTCCAGTTAAAAGAAACCTATAAAAATATGTGAATTGTGTTAAAGAAGCTGAATTTTAATGAGTAAAAATGGGCCCTATGCGAAAAATGGATTCACATTTTGAGACAAAATTGAATGTGATGATAGTTTTATTGCCATTTTCAACTCAACATCAGTGAATTATGTAATATTAATTATTTTCTGGAAAACAGAAGAAATGTTATTTTTTGACACAGGGCAGTGTAATAGCACTTATAGTAGGAAGACACTGATGACAATAAATGTGTATGTTTGATTGCAGGTCGAGATCTAGCCAGCACCACTCTGCCAGGCTACCCTCCTCATGTCCCTCCTACTGGACAGGGCAGCTACTCCACCCCCTCCCTCACTGGAATGGTACCTGGTGAGTAGACACACACACACACATACACACACAGTCATGTTTCCATCCCCTTACACTGATGTATGGAGACTTACCTCCTTTAAGCACGCCAGTATGCACCACTGCCTCAAACCTAACCTAAAAGCAGGTCATACTGAAATGAACATATTTACAACTTACTTACTTTTTCTTCCCACAGTGGAGACTTGTCACCACAAAATGAGTAATAGCAAATGCACCCTTGCTAAAGCTGTTTTACTTTTAATGTACATAGCTTTCCCTTACAGTAACTGTGTCATCTCTCGCCACACATCATGTCAACCCATCTCTACGTACATATCCTCTAAGTTCCTGCTGGATGTTTGTCCGAGCGTGCGTGTTTTCAGAGGCTGTACTTAGCTTCACCACTTCCTCTTTCTTGTCTGTCTACACTGTGGGTGACAGTGCTCCCAGGGGGTGGTGCGTGTGTCTGTTTGTGTGCATATATTTGTGTGTTTGCGCTTCTCTTTAGCGTGTGTGTCTGTGCGTGTGTGTGTATCATTAGAAACCAGCCACAGTAGCACAGCTGTCCCTCCTCAACATTAGTAATTTGTTTTTAATGAGAATCACCAGTGACCCACGACTAATTCATTCATTCCCTTCCACTCCGCCTTCTACGATGCTTTTGTGTTTCAATCCTAAGCCGCTATTCTTGTTCTCTCGCTCGCTCGCTCTCTCTCTCAGACTTGCAGTGGTGGTCGTGGTCAGTGTGAAATACACTGCAGAAAAATAAAGGGAGAGACACAAACGGGAGGGAAGCAAAGTCAAAAAACAATGCTGTTTACAAGTTGTATTCCCAATCATTCAGTCTGTGACAAACACACACACACATAGGCTGACACGCAGAAACACACACTCTCAGTGGACATGTAGGAACAGCACGTCTAAAGATGGGTAACCCTGTCACCCTGTCCCCCTGCGCTCACCCCGTCCTGTCCTCAGGTTTGACAGCATATTTGTGTGTGCGCGTGTTTTTGGTTTGCTGGATGTTTATGCGTGTGCTGTGATTGTTTGTGTGTATGTGTGTTTGTTTTTGACAGTGTGTGTGTGTGCGCGCGACCTTGACACTGAGCTACACCAGGGAGACCCCTGAGCCTTCTTTCCCCTCCTCTCTCCCCTCCGCTCCTCGTCTCCTAAACAACCTGACACATTGCCGTCACTACGGTGATGACAAGGGAGAGGATGTTCACACCCAGGGATGCCATGGAGACAACATCCCGACCCCACCTGACAGACGCAGCTAAACGCACACATAAATGCACACACTAGCACAAAGAAAACTTGTTTTGTGTATATATGTATATATATACACACACACACAAACAGCGAAGGCATTTGAATTTTTCTCAGCGCATTTTTAAAGCTGCACGAATCCATGAGCTGACTGGAATGAGTCGAGGAGATAATCTACAAACTTTGCTTCTCCAGCTCCGGCACATTTTATCTCAGCACTTCTCAGGCAAATTATCCTCCTTTTTGTTCGCTCTGTCTAATATCATACCTTCATTAAGCAAGCAACTCTCTTCTGCTGTTCGCCTTCTCCCTCTCTGTCTCTCTGTCTTTCTCTCTGCAGCAGGGGGGCTGACACTCAGAGGGGGTGTTGGAGAGCAGTGAGGCAGAACCGACAGAACGAGAAGGAGAGAGGAGGAACGGGTGGTGGTTGGAGGGAGGGGGCATCAGGGTCTGTGACTGTCAGCTATGGGAGAGGGATCCCCTGGGAGGAGTGAAGGTTCAGGAGAAAAGAAAGAGCAAAAGAGTGAAAAAAGAGAGCAAGTCAACAGAGATATGTGGAGAAAAAAAAAGAGGAGAAGAAATGGAGGAGAATGTTGTTTTGATGTGAAGGGTGACGGGCGGGCTGCAGTCAGGCGGGCCAGAGGACGAGAGAGAAAAATAAAGAGGAAGGGGTGATGGGAAAAGCAGGAGGGGAAGGCAAAAGGAAGAGTAGACCCCAGACAGTAAGTATTAAATGAGGGAGAAAAGCTACACTATCATCCACTGTATGGCAGGACCACTACATTCGCACCGAGCTCTCCTGTTCTGTCCCTATCAACTAGTCTGCAAACTGTTCTGTTGAACACAAGAAACCGGTTAAGGCTTCAGAGAGCAAAGTATTTCCACAAGCATGTGTTCCTGCCAAATGAGATAAGAATAATATCCTGAATATTATCTAAAACTGTGCTAGTCCTCACCTAAACCAAACCGAGACGGGATTGTCCTCCCTGTCCTTTAATGTTTTTAACCATGTCTTGTGTCTCTGTTTTCTGTTCTCCTACAGGGGGAGATTTTTCTGGAAGTCCATATTCCCATCCGCAGTATTCAACGTACAATGAATCATGGAGATTTCCTAACCCCAGCCTATTAGGTTGGTGTATCCCATATTGTTTATTGTAGCGTATTCTGTGGAGTTTCATCACATTCCACCTTACATCCCACTTCCACCCTCTCTAATACTGTTCTATTTATCTTTTTCATGGCATCACATTTCATTCTTTGTAGTAATGTAGCAGACAGTCTGCAGAGGGCTTTTTGTTTTTAATGACAGGAAATTTTGGCGTGAATGGATCTGAAGAACAGATATAGCAAGAGAGGAATGAACTGAATTAACTGTTTTTTTAAATATATATATATATATATAGGTGTCATGGAGGAAAGTGACTCTGACTCCTTTAGATTAAAAATTAGAAATTATGTTAGAAATATAATACATTAGAATCTTAGCTGTTTGCTTGCCCAAGCAACAAAGGTGCAGAGTAACAAACAGTTACAGCTCATTTAGTCCCAAAGAGTCACCAGTGTTGATCTGAGGGACTCCAATAAGCAGCAAGCATTACCTAACCCCCACCCCTCCCCCCACTCCCCAAATGTTTTTAGATATCTTGGCAGCATCCATTTTCTTTAACTTCCAAAACCATTGATGTGTGTTTCTGAAAGACATCCCAACGCTGTCTTTACATCTCCGCATTAGTGTTTAAGAGGAGGCATTAACCCTGAGCTAAAACAGTCGGTGTCAAAGTCATTGTCTAAGCAGCCATTTCAGGGGTCATGATTAAAGGTGAAACGGTCAGAAGGTGATGGTTTAAAAGGTCAATAGGTGAGAGAGGTCACACTGTGATGACCTTTAGCTTACCCCCACCCTTTCCTCTCCTCACCTCTCCTTTTGCCTCCTTCCCTCCATCCCTCTGTCCCCAGTGTTTCAGCAGGATTATGGGTCTCTCCTGGGGACGGAAATCGGCTGCTCCTCCAGTCTCTTCACCAGCCAGGCAGGACAGATGCAAGGTAGGTGGAGAAAGACAAAAGAAGCAGATGAAGAGAGTACAAGAGAAATAAGTGCACTGTGTTTGTGAGCACGTAGGTGCTGTATGTGCACGGGGAGATGCCACGATGAGGAAAGCTGACAGTAGAGCATGCAAAAAGGGAAAAAATGCAGTGAGACTGTAACGGAAGTTTATGATAACGGATGAGTGGACACATAATATGAGGACAAGATGCACATTAGGAGACACTGAAAGGCTTAAGATTGAAAGCAGGGGAAGGGAGAGCCTTGGATACAAAAGAAAGGATAAGGAACGGATGAGGAAAATGGTGAGACATGAAAGAAAGGGGAGTTTTTCAAGAAGAGGCAAAAGGGGAGAAGAGGGCGTCTGAAACCTTGAGTGAGACTAAATAGTTTGTCAGGTCGGCTTAATGCCTCACTTCCCCAAAGAGGCTCCTGAGATTACCTGGACTGTGGACAGACATAACCTGTCAACACACAGCTAGGCTGATTGATGGAAGGAACGGAGACAGGTGTGGATGTGTGTGTGCAGGTGACTGCTTTTTTCTGTGTGTATTAAGGTGTGTAAGTGTGGGTTTCTGCGTGTCTTTGGGGTTACAGTATTGAATTGACCTCTCCCTTGGGGAGAGAATAGACTCAGGGGATCAGCAGTAGTAGAGCTGT